AGATACACATGCAACATCCACCCTTCAAAGATTAGGATTTTGCTGGATTATAGCCATGGTGTGGAAATAAATTCTGTTGAAGTCATAGCAGCTAACTTCCAAGAAATGTAAAGAATTATGCTTAAAAATTATCTGTGGAAAATATTATGAGCTAAAAATAAGTAAAGTGAATTAACTTGCTAGGCTTCCATAAGGCAGCAGCTGCATCAGTGTATTGAATTTCAGAAACTGTAACCCAGAAATGCTAATGTGATGTGAACATTATTAGGTTACAGCAAATGTTTAAACTAAAAACTACAGCAGCACAGGGTTTGTATAAAGGAAATTATTCTGGGCCAAGGAGTGGGAGGTGAGTTAGAGAAGTATGTAACAAACCCCTACTTCTGTTATACAAGTATAGATTCCACTAGAGCTTTCGGTCAGTTGGCACCTTGCTGAGCAATTTGAATAGTTTCTTTTTAGCCTTATCTCATTTTCTTGTCCTCCAAAATAGGAACAAAACTTTGATCCCAATTCTTGAATAGGCTGACTGATTCCAGCTATTCTGTCCTTGTGAGCTGTAAGCTATCATCATTTAGAAGGTGGGTCCAGCAGCTACGTAATTTTGTGAAGGTGAAGGAGATCACGGGATGAATCTGACCAAACACACTTAAGAGCCCATTATCGGGCCTATGCTGTGGCGGTGAGGGCGGCGAAAAAGAAATTCTTTTCTGTTTCCATTGCCTCCTCAAAATGCCATCCGGCAGAGCTTTTTCGAGTGGTACAAGGCCTGGTCCGGCCTGGCCCTAAGAAAGATCTGGTTCCACCCTCGAAGGCCTGCTGTGATGACTTTGCCAAGCATTTCAGGGAGAAAATCGCTCAGATTTGTCACGAGCTAGACTCTACTAGTGATTCAGAGGCTTCTGGGGAGATACCAATGTCACCGTCTGGTCCAAAATTAATGGATGAATTTCAGTTATTGTGGCCCGATGATGTGGACAAGGTGCTTGGACGAGTAAGTCCCACCACTTGCCTATTGGACCCTTGCCCATCTTGGTTAATAAACAACGCCAAGCATGGGATTGGGAGCTGGATCTTGGAAGTGGTTAATGCTTCTCTGAGGGAGGGTTGGGTATCTGCCCCTTTAAAGGAGGCAGTAGTCCGACCGGTCCTGAAGAAAGCATCACTGGATCCAGAGATGGCCACTAATTATAGACCAGTGGCCAACATCCCGTTTCTGAGCAAGGTGTTGGAGCGGGTGGTGGCGGGACAACTCCAAGCACTCTTGGATGAAACTGATTATCTGGACCCATTTCAGTCTGGCTTCAGACCCGGGTATGGTACTGAATCTGCCTTGGTTGCCCTGTACGATGACCTGTGCAGGGAGAAGGACAGGGGGAGTGCGTCCCTGTTGGTTCTTCTGGACCTCTCAGTGGCTTTCAATACCATCAACCATGGTATCATTCTGGATAGGCTAACGGGATTGGGAGTCAGGGGCACTGCTTTGCAGTGGTTCCACTCCTATCTCAATGGCCGATTCCAGAAGGTGGTGCTGGGGGACTATGGCTCTGCACAATGGCAGCTATGCCATGGAGTACGGCAGGGGTCCATTTTGTCCCCTTTGCTGTTTAACGTCTACATGAAACCGCTGGGAGAGGTCATCAGGAGGTGTGGGCTGCGGAATCATCAGCACGCTGATGATACCCAGCTCTACCTCTCGTTTTCCACCAATCCAGGTGAGGCAGTGGCTGTGCTGAACCGGTGCCTGGCCGAGGTAATGGGCTGGATGAGGGCCAATAAACTGAC